TGGCCCGACACTCGGTCTCTCAGGCACATTGCATGCTCTGAGCTCCCTCCCGGCGCCCCCACGGCCCACAGCTGCCACCCGCCTGGCCGGGCTCTGCAATCCCATGTTTCCCTCCGTCGCATGGCCACCCCTCCGACTGTGCCCCCACGTGCTCTCGCTCCTCCAGCCTTCACTGTGTCTAGAACTGGGTCCAAACTCTGTGGGCAAGGCTGTGGCCCAGAGTTCTTGGCACCACCTCCCCGTGCTGCACTCCTGCCCGTCCATCCACGCCCGTGTGCCTCCTTCTGGGACCTACACTCTGGAGGACACCCGCGGAAGCCTTGCCCCACCTGGAGCGTGGGGCCATCCCAGCTGGACCAACTCCCGGGCCGACGACCAGACGCCCATCTCTGCGGAGTCCAGACCCTAGCTCCGTACCTGATGCGCGCAGAGCCTGTCAGTGCTGGCTGAGCCCGTGGCTGACTGAGCGGCGGGCTGATGCTGTGACTGTGCAGTCGCCCCCAGGGCCCATCATTGTGTGCGGGTCCCAGCTTCGTGGGTGAGGGTGGCTGCAGCAGAGCCTACCACCTGCACCCCACACGGGGACCTCGGGGCCCAGGACCTCGGTGTGCAGGCGGGGCCTGGGGCGGGTGCAGATGAGAGGGCCTCTGGACGGGCCAGCCACACCACCAGCCACCTTCGTGGGGGCCATTGCTCACTTGGCCCTTCCATTCACCTTCACGACTGTGGGTTGAGTCACTCAATGGCTGAACTAGATCTGGGGTCATTCTGACGTCTGAACACAGGCCCCGAGGACCAGCCTCGTGGCCTCGCGTGCCTCTGCAGCTTCCCTTGCCTACGGGTGCCAAGACCCCTCAGTCTGAACAGGAGGCAGCTCTGGAAGGGGTGCAGAGTGAGGGCAGCTCGGTGTGGACTGTGCCCCATTTCTGTGCCGTCCATACTGGACGCCTCCCGCCAGGATCGCCAAGCTTCGACGCCGAGCGCCCCTCTGTGTCAGTGTTTACCTACCAGCCCACGGCGGGGCTGATGCGCAGGGGACTCGCCAGGACCAGGCCTCCCGTGGCTGCCTGACCCCGAACTTGAAGGCAGGCCCAGCGCATTCTCCTCCGAGCCCCACACGCCCGGCCCGAACAGCACGTTGGACCGACAGGCCCTGTGCACCACAGGCGAGGACAGTTGTGGGGAGTGCCAGCCATGTGTGCCTCAAAGCCAGCTTGCTTCCATCTGGTCAGCGCTCCCCAGAGGCGGTCTGGGGTCCACAGCTTCGTGGTGGGCAGCTGCCCCTGCCGGCTGGTGCAGGTGGGCCTCCCCAAGCCCGTGCCGGGCCCGGAACACCTTTCTCTGGGGCCAGTGTGAGTAGCATGGCCAAGGTAAGCTTTCCTGGAGGTTCCGTTGGCGCCTCTGGCTACCGAAAGGTCACCTGGAAATACAGGGGCTGGACGGTCAGGGTGCAGGACAAGCCCCTGATTGAGACCCTCCACCCCAGCCCGGCCCCGAAAGGCCAGCAGCGCCAGGTCCCTCGGGGGTCTCGGTGGGGCCTTCCTGGTGGGCAGAGTCTGGCCTTCACCATCTGCTTTATCAGCAGGCACGGGTCCGCCCTTGTCAGCCTGTCCTCGGGTGGCAAGGGGATGTCCCTGGCCTTCATGTCCTCTTTTGAGATATGGGGTCTCCTAGGCCCTGTTGGGCAGACCGCCGAGTCCCAGGGCAGCAGGGACCGCCCCCCCCCAGCCAAATGCATCCTCGGAAGGAAAGGGGAGAGAAGCCAGCCAGGATCACCCCCACAGTACTGCTCCCACGTTGTCTTCCACACAGAGCTGCGCCCCCACGGCGGACCCTGCTCCTTGGCCACCTGCACGCACCCTTCCCTGCCTTTCGGAGGGTCAGCCTGGGGCCGGGCCTGCCCCCTGCTGCCCTCCGGCCCAGCACACTTGCCCACTCGCCCCACATGGCCTGTGCCCTCCCGTGCCCTTGCAGCCCCTCCTTGCGGGCACTCGGCGGACCACCTCCCCGACCAGGCCGGTCCTGCTGCCCATGAGGGGCAGTGAAGCTGAACCTGTGCATGAGTCAGGGTCAGGGAACCCGAGCCTGTGTTTTCCTAGAAATCAATCTGGCTGGAAGTGGTGGGTGGCCATCTGGGCTGGCGGGGCCCTGGCCCTGCCCCCGAGCCCCCCAGTTGCCCGGCTGCAGGGAGAAAGGGGCATCGGTCCAGCCTCGGCGGATGGAGGCCCGGGGTAGAAGCAGGCAGGCCGAGGGTTCTCAGGCGCCCCTCCCTCATTCCCGGGGCACGGCCTCTGCTGGGCACATCCGTCCGCATCGCCGAGAGAGACACCAGGCGAATGTGGCCCGGGGTTAATGCGGCAGCAATTAGCCCAACGCAAGCAGCCGGGGCAGCTGCTGAATGGGGCTTTTTGGGCCACTTTGTGGCTTTTTGTGTGTTTTAACGTACTTGAAAACAAGCTATTACAATGGGGCAGGATGGACGCAGGGCCAAGGGCTGACAGGTGGGCGGGGGGTCTCCCTGGCGTCTGTGTCCCCATGGGCTGTGGCCCCGAGAAGGTCCTGTGTCCCCAGTGGCCTCCTCGGAAACGGGGGGTGTTTCCAGTTCCCCCCGCAGACACCTGGCCGAGCCTTGTGTGCTGTCCGCACCAGGTGCCCATGGGCCTGGGGACATCGGGGAGGCTACTGGGCAGCTCGGAAGCAGGGTGTACATTCTGCATTCATGAACAGCTCCGAGCATCCTGTGTCCAACGGGCAGTGAAAGCCCCTCCTGCCGCCCCACCCCCAATCTGGGGACGCCGCAACGGAGGGGTCAGTCCCAGAGAACCGGGCTGAGGCCATTGTGAGTGGACCCGTCTGATCATGTCAGGGGACTTACCGGGTGGGCTGCCCCCAGCTCTCAGAGGGGCAGCGTGTCTGCCAAACCCACCTCCGCTCTGGCTTCTGGATACGAAAACACTGGGAACAAGGAACGGTTCAACATCTAAATGCAAAACCTCTTAACCAAAGAGTCCGGGGACACAGATTAATCAAATCACCCTGAAGTCTAGACGCGTGTGAGCAGAGCAGGGACCAGCTCCAACACTGGAGCCACGGCAGGAGCGGGGGGCTGTCCCTGAGGGCCTGGGGGCTGCCCAGCGCTGCCCAGCACAGTCCGGAGCCCCAGCCTCTGAGCCCACGTGCCCACGCCGAGCCGGTGCGGGGGGACACACCGTCTGCACGAGGAGGACCCGCCCCTGCCTGACCCCTGCTCGCACAATGCAAAGTCGCCGGGCCACCGCGGAGATGAACGTTCCTGCAGGAGGGATCGGAAGCGACATTCTAAAGCAGACATGGGGCAGCAGAAGCAGGGACAACTGAGTTACATGAATCACAGTGCCCGAGAAAGTGCAGCAGCTAAAAAGATGAGGTCCAAAAAATGCCAAAAGGAAGGCCTGCATGTGTGCAGAAATGCTTCCGCCTCGTTCGTGAGAGGCCACTTCGGGGGCCGTCTGAGGGGCCTGGGAGCGCGACTGGCCGAGGGTTTGGGAGCCTCCTGCTCTCCACAAACCACCACGTCCGCACCGCACTTGGATTTCGGAAGCCATGTGTGTGCATTACCTCTGTAATAAGGATGAAACCACGAGTATTAAATGTTTTAAAGCTTGAGCATTGGCGCTGTTCACCTCATCACGTTTATGGTCTTGCTTTCTTTAGCGCACGCGCATTTCTCTGCAGTGAGATGGGGGGCAGTCCCCTCCTTTCAGGAGAGTCCTGTGAACTTTTGCTGAAATGTTTTATCATCAACCTGTGAATAGACCCACTTCCTGACTCTCAAGGATGGATCGGGTTCTCCTGAACTGCGGGTACGATGGAGACGGAGTGTCCTTGCGCCCGACTGGGCCCCTCCCCGGGGGCCTGCTTCCAGCCGCCAGGGCTGGCGGGACGTGGCTCAGCCACGTGAGCATGGCAGCTTACCTTTACGGTCCTCTGCTCCTGAAGGCTGTGCTGGGCGCCGTCCCCGCCCCCCAGGCCTGGGCCACCGGGCCCAGGGGCCCCCCCACGTGGCTTTCTGCCTCTTCCCACAGAAAAGCACCACCAGCAGCAAAGGTTAGTTTAGTTACTCCTGGACCCTCCTTGCCAGCCGCCCCCGGATCTACCGCCCCCCCGACCTGAGAAGCGAGGGGGCGACCCCACGGGCTCTGGGGGCCACCGGCCGCGCTTGGAGGCTGCCTTCCACGAAGAGAGCTGCCCCCGCCAAGCCGCCAAAGCACCGTGTTAAACGTGAAACACCAACTGCTCTTTTATTCACACCAGATGCTACTTGAGAAAGACCATGTCCGAGGTTATTTCTAGCAAGAGCGAGCGTTCTCTTCCTCAAGACTCGCAGACAGAGGCACCGTGCCCGGTGAGCAGCTGCGGGTCCCCAGCGGCGAGGCTGGTGGAGCAGGTGGTGGTGGCCGAGGGTGGGCCTGGCGGGCCCACGGCTGCAGACCACGCCGAAGGAGAAGCGGGGCCGCACGAGGACCCTTTATTTCCCGGTTTTCTCAGGCACTCTTTCCAAAGGGTTTGGTTTTAAGGTCTAGTGTGATTAAAAACGCCGGCTGGAGGTAAGCGCGTGCCTGCCGGCTGCCGCCGTCTAAGGCCAGAAGCGGCGGGGACGCACGCTCGGTCTGCGCACAGCGGTCGTGGTTAGTTCTGTCGGCATGAGTGAGCGAGTAGCATTAGTCGTGCACAGAGTGAAATACACGATCATCCCCGAGACTGTTTGTGCTCCCGTGTTTGGAGGCTCGGGGCCACAGACCCGGCGCGGGGCCAGTGATGCCCCGGGGCCACGTGAGGGCAGGACAAACATCCTCGCAGGACAGACAGTGCATTTCCTATAGCAGGTAGGGTTCTGACATCGGGGGAGGAGAGAGTTAAAATGTGATTATGGCCAATGAGGCGTGGCGCACATCCAGGAGGGCCGTGGGGCCGCCAGAGCCGGACGCAGCTCCCCACGGAGGGACGGTGGCGTTAGGGCTTTACTTCTCCTCCGTGGACAGGTGGTACAGAGCCTCGCCCAGGCGCACGAGCTCCTCCTTGTGCTCCAGGTCCTGGTACAGGCCCGTGGGAACCGCGTCCAGGCCGTGCAGCAGCCCGAACAGGCAGCCCGCGATAGTCCCCGTGGCCCCGCTCTCGCCTGGAATGAAATGCAGGTTCTCAGGGGCCCCAGGGCCGAAGGGGTCGGGCGTGGCCCGTCTCAGAGACCCTCAGGGCAGCCCCCGCCCCGGGGCCTAACCCCAGCTTTTCTCTGGGCGCACCGACCCGGGGGACTTGCTGTCCTTCTTCCGCCCTCCCTCCTTGCACACCCTGACACACGTGTGTGCGGACGCCCGGGCCGTCCTGGGGGCCGGGCGCTCGGGGACCTCACGTCTGCGGGCGCTGGTGTCTCTACCACCTCAGCACCAGGGACCGAGGGGCCCGGATGCCCACGGAGACTCTGTGCTCAGCTCGAGGTGGTGTTTGCCAGGAATCCCCTCATTTCACACCCGCAGGGGAGATCGGGCACCAGGAGGCGGGGAATTCCCGCGTCCCGGCCGCCCCTGGGGGGCTCGAACCCGTGGCCGCCTGATGCAAAGGGCTACAGAGCTCTCTCTGGCTACAGAGTCTGTAGAACTGTGTGGGGCCTGTACCTGCAGGATCCCTGCTCTTAGCCCGGCGACCTTGAAGGAGAGGGACGCGCACCCCGGCTCCCCCAGATGCCCTTTTCTTGGGAGCCCCGACTCCAATGGCCACTCGAGGCAGCACCCCACCCAGAGAAGGACAAATATTCCAGGGGGTCAGGAGGCCGGGCCCTTGGACATCCCGGGAGGGTGCTTTGGGGTGAGAAGGGGGTGCCGGTCGCCTGGAACCCAAGACCCTTAAAGAAGGCGGTCTCACCTCCATGACACATGGCCCGGTGGCAGAGCTCTGCCCAGCTGTCACCTGCTCCTAGGAGAGCGTCGTAGGCAATCATGGGAGCATCGTGGCCCCGCCGGCCCCCTCGGCCTTCCGAGCTCCATTTTCGGTAAGCCTGCAGGAAGAGCCAGGGATCAGGGTCATGCGAGACAGCAAAGCCAATGTCGGCTGGAGCGTGAGCTTCCTGGGTTCGTCCAGGGTGCCGCTGGGCACCTACTCACTGTGCACTTATGGAGCACCGCCTGTGTGCACTGCCCCAGGGCTGGGGTGACCGTGCCCGGTAAAGATCCCCTTCTCGTGGCTCCTACAGATGTAGGTATTCCAAAGACAAACAAACCTGACTACATGTTGGGGTAGCCGCCAAGTCTGTGGTGATGGAGCCACTCGACCCGCGTCTGAGCGGAGCATGGGGCTAGCGGGCAAGGGTGGGCCGGGTGGTGGTGCCGAATGAAGCCTGGGGGTGCGCCATGAGCGGAAACGCTGGAGAGAGCTGGGAGCGGGCAGGGGCCAGGGTGCAGACTGGCCGGTCGCACCCCGGTGCCCTGGCGACAGAGTCAGCCTTGGTTTGGGGCAGCACCATCTGCAGGACCGCACACCAGGGCCTTCCTGCATCCAGGGGAGGTCCCCGGGGGGCATTTAGAGGGGCGGTAGGGAGCACCCAAGGAGGAAGGGTGGGCCCTCCCCTCCCCTCCCCTCCCCTCCCCTCCCCTCCCTCTCCCCTTGCACCGTCCGGACAGCTGGAATGCAGACGCACTGGCTGGAGCCAGAGTGGCCGGCTTGGAGGACAGTGATGCCCTCAGAAGACAGAGGGGCCACACAGAATGTCCTCAGCTCCTCACTGCAAGGGACTTGCAACTCAGCTTTGGCATCCGTGGACATACGGGTAATAGGTGTCTATCTTGGCTAAGCCACAGTGACTCAGGGTTTTCCCTTGTACTACCAAACCCGATGCTGACTGTGTCAGCCAGTTAGGGGTCTTCTCAGCACAAGGATGAGGGCCTGCACAACCTTATTCATCATGTACGACTTTAAGTCCTAGCCCCTAGAAAAAATGAAGTGGAATAGAACATCTTTAACAATCATATTTTCCCCAAATTTTCTAGCACGTACCATGCTTTAAATGAGAGAAAATGGAAAGATAAAGTTTTGTCTGCTTCACACATGCTTCCTCCAGGAAGGTTTCCACACCCGCCCCCACAGCTGCGCTGGGCCCCTGGTGGTTGCTGGGGGAGCCCCAGGCTGGACGCTAGACGCGGCAGGAACACAGACCAGCTGCAGCGGCTCCTCGGCGGGGCCCGGGCCCTGGGACCCCGACAAGTCCTGTCCCCAGCCCTCGCACCGGCAAGACTCACCTTGTCCCTCTCCTCTGAGTCGTAGCGGTCGGGGAAGACAGCTTTGCTTCCCGTGTCGTCGCTGATCTTTCTCTCCTCCAAGTAAAACTGCCATTTGGCTTCAAAGTAAAACCAGTGCTCCTGGTATTCTAAACATAAAGAGCAGGGCGGGCTGCAGGCGTGGGGCGGCTCCGCGGGTCGGCCATGGTTGTGTCTGCAGCTGCTTTGGAACCAGAGGGAGGGAGGAGGAGACGGGGCCCAAAGCAACCCCAAACCTCCTTGACTCTATTCCGAACCCAAGGCCAGGACTGCACTGCTTCCAAGAGTATCCGCTTGAAAATTCTGAGCCTGTATCTCTTCCCTGATGCAACGCAGCCTGGGAGGAGGCATTTCCTTACTCCCGGCTGACCGCCCGGCGCACAAGCCCCAGAGGCGTTGAAAGGACCTTCCAAAATCACAGGTGAAGAGGACATTCGTGGCGGCAGCTACGCCGGCGCAGGTGTAGACGCACGAGCCCCTGGGCGTCCCTCCAGCAGGCGGCCGGGCCGGCACACCACGGCGGCCTCCTCACCAGCCCAACGGGAACTCCTGGCTCGCGGGGCACAGCGCTGCCCGCGGGAGGGGGGACGGCTCGGGGGCTGAAGGCAGGCCCAGGGACAGGTCTTGGGATGCGGCTCCAAGTCCGAGGGAGCCACAGGCCCCTGGGAAGCTGGCCCGAGTCTGCTTTACAGAACGAAAAGCAGAGCCGACCTAAGGTTGAGGCAAGACGACCAGGCCCGATGGGACGCCCCAGCCGCCCTGCAGAGACCAGCGCTCGGCCCGTGTGCGGCCGCCTCTCCCCCGGCCGGTGGGCAGCCGAGTCTGGGAACAGATGTCCAAGCAGTAAGACAGGGAACTGATGTGCCAATGGGCACCACTATGCAGAAGGCCCTTGAAGAATTGAATACAACTGTCTGTGGACGATTTGAGGTTTCGGTTAAAAAGGGTGTGTGTCATAGGAGGTCATAAAACTCCAGGTTGAACACATTTAAAACTAAACAGAAAGAACAGTCTCAGATTTTCTGACCAATGCCTGTCCTCCCCGTTCCTGTCCAGGAGCATCCCCCGCGGCTGCTCTGTGGGAAACCCTGGGGGAGGCCAGAGCTCTGGGGACCGTCCCCGACATAGCGTGATGCACTGCGTGGCCCACACTCAGCCCTGTTGACCTGTCTCTCCCAGGTGGGAGGAGGTGGCCACAGGCAGCCTCACCCACTGCAGAGAGCCTGGGGTAAGAGTGACTTAAGCCAGTAGAAAATAAGGCCAGCGTGGAGCTTTGTTCTATAATTAAGTTTATAGGGGAACACTTCAGTTCACGGTGGACACAATGTTCTCTGCTTCACATTGGAACGGAGCCCAGTGGATGAGAGTTTCCCCTCACTGCAGAAGGAGAGGCAAAGTTCTCCTTGTCAAGTTGTTCTGGAAGCTTCTCCAGAGGCATTTAGAATGAGTCCCCGCTCGCCGGAGGGTGACAGTGACTCATGGGTTTCCTGTCTCAAGACCTCGGCCTCAGGCTGCCCAGAAAACCAACAACCTTGCTCTTGCACTCACACCCTCAGCCCCCTCTGCCCCGGGACAAATGCGGCAACTTATGCCAGAAACCCTCCTGGACAACTTCAGAACATTCTCACGCAGCTCCCGTCCCTCCTGGAGGGAAAGAGCCCTGCGGAGGGTTGGCCGCCCAAGGAGAAGCTGTGGGCTTCCTAGTCCTGCACCTGCTTCTCTCGTCTGGTCCGTCAGGCCACCACTCGCCCACCTGCAGCAACACCGCAATCCCCTAGGACCTCTGCTGGACAAGCTGATGGATACCCCATGGGGGGCCAAGGAGGGTGTGTGTCATTTGACGGTGGGTTTGAGGTAACTGGGGACAGACAGACACTCCTGGGTGTGGATGTCACCAGTGGGCACAGATGCCCATCTGGCCTTCGTGGCAGCAGACTTCGGGTCAGGCCGTCCATAAGGTGCAGGAGCAGTGCGGACGTCAGTGTGGGTGTCCCCTGTCCGTCTCCGGGGAATGGGCTACTTAAGGACCATCTGGAAAATTGAACCTAAGCATGCACCCCTCTCATCTCTCCGGCTGCCGTCAGACGGCAGGAGGCCCGGGGTCAGGATGCAGCGGCTCACACTGTGCCGGGTCTCCTGGCTACTGGGGTCCCCTGGGCAGGTGTCGTCCTCTGCCAGGGGTGCCTCGGCCCCCTTGGTGGGGTCAGCCCTCGGTTTCAGGGTGGGGCAAACAGACCTTGAGCTGTCTGGGAACGCTGTGTGTCCAAATCTGCCGCGAGGGTGAATCAGAGCAACCCGTTCAAGTGCGACAGGAAGGGGGGCCAGGCTCACCTGCCAGGTGCCGGATGGTCTTCTTACAGTATTCCTCAGCCAGAGGGATCGTCCGCATCATGTCCCTGCCCCACTGCTCCAGAGGCTTCCCTTGTGCAGCGTATGATGCAAACAGGGCCGTGCACAGGGACCCGAGGAAGCCTGCAGGGCGGGGGGCAGAACAACACAACAACAATGGCATTTGGGCTCGCGTCCTGGGCCGTTGCCCTGTGCACTCTGGCCTTCTGTTTCCTGCACAAAGGGGTGCCATGCCCCCTAGCAAGGGCCATCGTGGGGACAGATGGTTCTCAGCACAGAGGAGCGCCCACCAGGCCAGCCCGAGACGCACGGAGACCACAGCCACGCAGGAGAAGGCACGGCCATCTCCAGAGATGCTCTCAGTGGCTCGCTGGCCACTCTGGGAGGCATCGCCACGGGCTGGGAGTGAGTGTCCAGTTCTCAGACCCACTACTGTCCTGACCACCTGCCATCACCCCGTCCCCTCTGGGTATCCAGCGTCTAGGACGTGCACACGGTAACACCACCATGACGCTTGCAGCCAGCCGCATCTGGAACACTGGACAGGAGCCGACATGCCTTCCCTGGTGTTGCCCGCATGCCATCAAACCCTCAGTGTTTCATCAAATCTTTCATTAGAAACAAATTATATGAGGGGCGCCTGGGTGGCTCAGTTGGTTAAGCGTCTGCCTTCGGCTCAGGTCATGATCCCCGGGTCCTGGGATCAAGCCCTGCGTCGGGCTCCTTGCTCAGAGGGGGGTCTGCTTCTCCCCTGCCTGCTGGTCTCCCTGCTTGTGCTTGCTCTCTGTCTGTCTCTTTCTCTCTCTGGTTCTCTCTGTGTCAAATAAATAAATAAAATCTTAAAAAAAAAAGAAACATTTCTTCAATAATAGCGGGCAATATATTAGCCAGTTTTAGAGGTTCAGATTCTCGACCCGGAGTCTCATGCTCCTCGTATCGTCTCCAGACGCTCAACACGGTCATGGTTGGAGGCTTCCTATGCTCAGTCCACCTCTACTTGAACCACTAGCGAGCAAGTGCTCAAATTCTCTGCCTTTCACACAGACTTAAGGGCCTAAGGAACACCCACGAGGGTGTCGCCAGGAGGGCACAGAGTGGCCACACCAGTTACAGGGGACATTGAAAGTGGCCTTGAGGGGCACCTGCGTGGCTCAGCCGTTAAGCGTCTGCCTTCGGCTCAGGTCATGGTCCCAGGGTCCTGGGATCAAGCCCCACATCGGACTCCCTGCTCGGCGGGGAGCCTACTTCTCCCTCTCCTGCTCCCCCTGCTTGTGTTCCCTCTCTCACTGTCTCTCTCTGGCAAATAAATAAATAAAATCTTAAAAAAAAAAAAAGTGGCCTTGAAAGAGGGAACAGTGGCTGGGCAGCAGCGAGCAGTCTGTGGACCCGCAGGGGCTGGGGAGGGCACACCACCCGCCTTGCCAGGATTCAAGGTGGTTACAGGTGTGGGAGTTCCAAGTCCTTCTTTTTTAAACTTAGGCGCTGCCTGCCCTTCTAGGTCATGACTCACGGTCAGCTGGGGCCCCGCCTGCCTTCCCTCCATGTGCTGGACATGCGGTGGGGAACCCCGGGGCACAGCTGACGCCACCTCACCTAGGAGCACCAGCCAAGAGGCCCGTTGTTCTACCCACTCTCTCCTCGTGCTCAGGGAGACCCAGCTCCCAGTGCCACCATCAGATGGGGAAACAGAGGCACAGGCAGTGAAGGGATGCAGCTCACAAGGCCCGTGAGTGTTGGTCTGGCTCAGGGCCCCACCCGGGGGCAGCACTTGGCAGCAGATGATGCCCAACACTTGTGACATAAATCTGCATGCTCAGGACGTCAACCCAAAGCCCAGCTTCCCTCAGACAACTGGGGCTGCTCTTTCTTCCTGGCGCAAACAGCCCTGCACCTACTGGGGATTCTCCCCTCCAGCATCGCCACGCTCCATGCCAGACCTGCTTTTAGGTCGAAAACAGAGCGTAAGCAGACCTGAAGACAGAGAAGCCCAAGTCCGCCGACAGGCAAACGAACCACACGGTGGGTAGGGTTTCCGCAGTCACCGCATGCGAAGCGTCACCTGTGGGGTGGTTGTGGGTCATCCTGCCACACTCGACGCTCACTTCGACGAGTGTCTCCAGGCGCTCGGGCTTCCAGTACCGCATGCCGATGCACATGGCTTTCGTGGCGGCTCCAAACCCCGAGCCTACACGGAACACAGAATACCCAGTTTCAGACGTGTGCTCCAATAACCCCCCTCCGGCAACCGACCTTTCACATGTAACCCAAACACGTAAACACATTTATGGAATGTTTATCACAGTGTCATTTAAGTGAGTGAAAATAAGCAGACGACCCAAATGCCCGACAAAGAGCAAAGAGTAAGTAACTTGCAGAGCTCCCGTATGTTGGAACATTATTCCGGCATTGAACCCAGAATTTCTGATGGCTTGGGGAAGTGCTCTTAACATGCTCTCTGGGGAAGACGTGGCACACAGAGCTGCAGACACGGAATGCTTTAGCTGGACACATTTGCTCTCTGGGAAGGGGGTTCAGCTGAGCTGTAAGTGCGCGGGTTTCAGGGTCCCAGGGTGTGACAGGGTCCCGCTGTGACACAGAGCAATGTGCGGCACCGGCTCCCCAATAAAGATGGTGGACCTGGCTGCCAGTCGCTCCGAAGATTTTCTTGTGCCCTCCCGCCCTCCTGCCCACCACAGACCCAGGCCACAGGTCCGTATGCATTTCCTAGAGTTGCATGTGTGCAGCATCACGCAGAATATGGTTTCTCTCGCCTGGCATCTTTCACCCAGGGTGATCACTGGAGATGCATCCGAGCCGTCCTGCAGCATAGCTGACCCCCTTCACCAGCTGGCTGGACTCTGCATGCAGAGGGGCTGCCGCTCTGCCCTCCCACCTGCTGATACCTGCTGACACCTGCTGATACCTGCTGATGCCTGCCCTCCCACCTGCTAACACCTGGCCTCCCACACGCTGACACCTGCCCTCCCACCTGCTGACACCTGCTGACACCTGCCCTCCCACCTGCTGACACCTGTTGACACCTCCCTCCCACCTGTTGACACCTGCCGATACCTGCCGACACCTGCTGATGCCTAGGCTGTTTCCAGTGGTGGACGACCTGTGAACACTCCTACCCAAATCTTTGTACAGACACACGCTTTCTTTTCTCACGGGCAGACTCCTCGGACTGGAACGTGTAGCCCACCCAACGGATGAGTGCTTACCTTGGAAGGAGCTACCAAACTGGCTTCCAAAGTGGTTGTCATGTTCTATGTCCCACCAGCAGCTCCTCTTCACCCCTGACGCTCTTCACGGTCAGTCTTTCCACGACAGCATACGCGGTGGTGTCTCGTTTCCTAAGAATAATCGTGCTGAGCATGTTTTCATGTGCTTGTTGGCCACTCCTGTCTTTTCCTGGGGGAATTGCTCCCTTAAGTATTTCTCTCGTTTCTGTTTTGGGTTGTTTTCTTATTAAGTTTGAAGAGTTCTGAGTATTTATCAGATGTGTGCTTTGCAAGTATTTTCTCCCAATTTGTGATTTGCTGTTTTATTCTTTCAACCATCTTCTGGAGAGAGGATGAATTTGGGGAGCACGTGTTCCCTTCAGTTCCCTGGGAGAGTTGTGTGCAACTGGTTCTCTTTCTTCTCTAGCTGTTTGGTAGAATTCCCCAGTGAGGCCGTCTGAGCCTGGGGTTTTCTTTGTAGTTTCTCTCAGATATAGTGCTATTTAGATGATCTACTTCCTCTCAGGTGACCTTTGGTAGTTTGTGTCCTTCGAGGAAATTGTCCATTTCATCTAAGTTGTTAAATTTATTGGAACAGAATTTTTAATAATATTCCCTTATTTCCTGTAGAATGTGCAGAGAGATTGCCTCTCCACTGGACGCTGGCACTTTGGGTTCCCTTTGTCCTGACTGGTCTGGCTCCAGGTCGGTCAACTTCTTCATCTTCTTAAAGAACCAGCATTTGATTTTGTCAATTTTCTCTGTTTTTCTGTTTTTTTTTTTTTTTTTTTTTTTCTCTCTATTTTTATTATTTTTCCAATTGCTCTGTGTGTCTTTATCTCTCTTCTTTTTGTAAGTTTCTCAATGTGAATATTGAGGCCTTAATATTGATTCTCTGCTCACAATTATGGGTTTGTTTATTTCTCTTGCAGTTCTATCAGTTTCAGCCTCCTACATTGTGCAGTTTTGTTGCCAGTACACGAATGCTTGGGTTTGCTGTGTCTTCCTGGTGAATGGGTGCATTGTCATGATGAAATTGCCTTCTTTTCCCCTGGCAATGGTCTTTTCTCCAAAACTTGCTTTTGCGGTATTAACAGAGCCATGCAAGCTTCCCTCCGACTGGTATTCGCAGGGTGAACCCTTCCGCTGCCTGACCTACCTGTGCCTTCGTATGTAAGGTGCATTTCCCGTGAGCAGCCTAGAGCTGGGACTTGCTTCTTCCTCCCACCTGGGCCCCTGCCATTTATTTGGAGTGTTTAGACCATTTACATTAGATGTGATTATTGATGTGATCAGGGTCAAGTCTGTGGTCCTGTTTTTGCTTCCTTTTCTCTCTTGTCTGCCTATTTTGGATTGAATATTCCTGAGCAGTGAGATAAGATGCCCACCATGTAGAGGGCAATGCCCGCCACCACAAGGAGGAGCCCTCAGGCCTCGGCCCTCTTCTCTGGTCTCTGGTCTCTGCCCAGGAGGATGTAACACAGGGACACGGGGTCGGCGCTTCCCTCCCTGGAAAGAGAAGACACGCAGGAAAACCCACATTGGTAGCATGCTCTGCTCTCCCGTGGCGGCGGGTCCTGAAGCCGAGGTGGGGCTCGTGCCGCGGCAGAGACCCATTCTCTCCCCACGGGGCAGCCACTCCGGTGGCGTTGGTTAGGGCTGTGTGACGCTCAGCAGTTTGGGGAAGGTCACTGCATACCTGGAATAGGGGAAGCTTTCCCCTGATGATGTATGTGGAAGAATCCAAGGCCGAGGGAGAGCCTTGCACCTGGTCTCCCCAGACGGGAGTGTTCCGGGCTGGGACACAGGTCACTTGCGGCAACTTCCCCGGCAAATACTTGTAAATGATTCCACTTTCTCTTTTGTTTGCTTATTAGTTACAACTGTCTTGTGATGTTAGTAGTTGCTGTGGGGCTGAGTACTCCCGCCTGTAACTTACCACAGCCCCCTCACACCTCGGACAAGTACCATGTGGCCGCTTGCCTCCACGCTCCCCAGCCGGCCTCCGCCACGCTGCGTCCGACACCTGCTCACAGCACTTTATAAACCCGCGGTACATGACTAGTTTTTGAAGTTGATGATCCTTTAAAGAGATTTCAATAGTAAGTTACAAATTCTTCCCTATTTAGCCATGTGATTACGATTTCCATTGAAGTTCTTCTCCTGTGGATTCCATTCTGTGCTCGGTTACTTCTGCCCGAATCACGGTCATCCCTTAGCCTTTCTCACAGTGTGACTGCTGGTGATGAAGCCTTTAGCTTCTGTTTGCCTGGAAAGGGCTATGTGGCCATTGCTTCTGTAGGACACTGTTCTGGGAGTAGAACTCCAGGTGAAGTGTTTGGTGCCTACATGACCTGCTTTTCACAAGAGACCCACACCCTCCTCCCTGGGCTGTCAGCACACAGCGCGATTTTCTCCTTATTATTAGTTTTGAGAAATTTGATTGCCATGTGCCATAGTGTAGTGTTCCCCATGTTTCTTGTGCTTGGAAGTTACTGAGTTTCTTCAATCTGTGGGTTTACAGTTTTCATCAAATTTGGAGAGATTTTGGCCACTATTTCTTTTTTTCCCCCTTTTTTGGGGGGTTTTATTAAAATTATAGTTAGCTAACATATAGCGTATTATTGGTTTCAGAGGTAGAGCTCAATGATTCATCCGTTGCGTATCACACCCAGTGCTCATTGCATCATGCGCCCTCCTTCATGCCCATCCCTCAGTTACCCCATCCCCCCAGGCCCCTCCCCTCCAGCAACCCTCAGTCTCTTTCCTAGAGTTAAGAGTCTCTTATGGTTTGTCTCCCTCTCTGATTTCATCTTATTTTATTTTTTCTTCCCTTTCCCTTTGTTCATCTTTTTTTTTCTTAAATTCCACATATCAGTGAGACCATATGATAATTGTCTTTCTCTGACTTATTTCACTTAGCATAATACCCTCTAGCTCCATCCATGTCGTTGCAAATGGCAAGATTTCGTTTTTTGATGGCTGCATAATATTCCATTGTGTATATATACCACATCTTCTTTATCCATTCATCTGTCGATGGACATCTAGGCTCTTTCCACAGTTTGGCTATTGTGGACATTGCTGCTATAAACATTGGGGTGCAGGTGCCCCTTCGGATCCCTACATTTGTATCTTTGCGGTAAATACCCAGTAGTGCAATTGCTGGGTCATAGGGTAGCTCTATTTTCAACTGTTTGAGGAACCTCCATACTGTTTTCCAGAGTGGTTGCACCAGCTTGCATTCCCACCAACAGTGTAGGAGGGTTCCCCTTTCTCCGCATCCCCGCCAACATCTGTCGTTTCCTGACCTGTCAATTTTAGCCATTCTGGCTGGTGTGAGGTGGTATCTCATTGAGGTTTTGATTTGGATTTCCCTGATGCCGAGCAATGTTGAGCACTTTTTCATGTGTCTGTTGGCCATTTGTGTGTCTCCTTTAGAGAAATGTCTGTTCGTGTCTTCTGAGATTTTGGCCACTATTTCTTCACATCGTTTTGTTGCCCCTCGCTCTGTCAGGAGCCCTGTCACAGGCACATGAGGTTGCTGTAAGTTCCCTATGGCTCACTAGTGCTCTTTTCATATTTTTGGATTCTTTTTTCTCTATGTGTCCCATTCTGGGTTGTTTCTATTGCTCTGCCTTCAGACTCACTAAGTTTTTCTTCTGAAATGCGTAATCTGCTGTTAATCTCAGCCAATGCATTTAGAAAGTCAGACATTGTAGTGTTTTTTCTGGAAATGTGATTTAGATTCTTTTTATATGTCCATGTCCTTACTTAACTTTTCAACGTATGGAATACATACTATTTTATACCTGTTTGATAACTCTAACCTCTGCATCAGGTTTAATCGGTTTTGATTTATTGAGTTTTCTCCTCATAGATTATATTTTCCTGCTTCTTTCATGCCAAGTAACATGATTAGATGCCATCCTCAGTATAAACCCAGACAGGGGTCCATCCTCAGTATAAACCCCAAGGGGGTTTCCTCCTCAGTATAAACCCCAAGGGGAGGTCCATCCTCAGTATAAACCTAGACAGGGGTCCAGCCTCAGTATATACTCCAAGGGGGAAGTCCATCCTCAGTATAAACCCAGAGTGGGTCCAGCCTCAGTATAAACCCCAAAGGGGGGGGGGCGTCCATCCTCAGCATAAACTCCAAGGCAGGGGTCCATCCTCAGTATAAACCCAGAGTGGGGTCCATCTTCAATATAAACCCCAAGGGAGATCCATCCTCAGTATAAACCCAGACAGGGGTCCATCCGCAGTATAAACTCCAAGGGGGGAGTCCATCCTCATATAAACCCCAAGAGGGGGACTATCCTCAGTATAACCCCAGACAGGTATCCATCCTCAATATAAACCCCAAAGGGGGTCCATTCTCAGTATAAATGCCAAGGGGGGGGTCCATCCTTAGTATAAACCCCAAGATGGGGAGTCCATCCTCAGTATAAACCCAGACAGGGATCCATCCTCAGTATAAACCCCAAGGGGGGGTCCATCCTCAGTAGAAACCCCAAGGGGGGGTCCATCCTCAGTAGAAACCCCAAGGGGGGGTCCATCCTCAGTAGAAACCCAGACAGGGATCCATCCTCAGTATAAGCCTCAAGGGGGGTCCATTC